TTACAATAATGATACAAGGGTTGACATGCCAACATCTTTAAAGCACGTTTGGAACCCAAGACTAGACTATTCTTTACAACCTTGGGATGGACAACACACATATTAAGCAACTGCATAACTTCTTGGTAGTAAAATTGAGCAAACTGTGTTTGTAATTAGTAAATGGGTAAGACACATCTCACAACTATCGTCCAGGACTATAGTGGTGAGGCAGGATTGTCATTTAGTGCAGCAATCTGCAAAGATCCTCAAATTCTTTCAAAGGAGTCTTTTGTTCATATATAGAAACAATCGAGTGTGGCACTTGGGTTTCCAAGTGATCATTTCAGTCGCTGAGCCTTCAGTTCATCTGACCTATTGTAGTTTGGTCCGAAGAGAAATAACAGTACAGCCTTGGAAATGCTTCTCATTGGCCAGATCGTCCTTCGTAACAACCGTGACTTGCCTGCAGCCACTACGGCCCACAGGCCTGGGTGATGCACCTTCATGGAAAGCCAAGGTGAGGCGCACAGCAGCTCAAGGGCACAGAGGCAAGCGCTGCCCACACACGACCCGCTTCGTGGATTTGGCACTTGTCCGGGGCACTCTTTGTGGTGCCTACCTGGTGCCAGTACCCCACTGTGTCCATGCTATCTCCCAGGCTTGCTCTCCTCCCCCACTGTGTGGCTCCAACTCTTCCTCTGCCCCCTGCACTCCCGGTGGTAGGAGCCACAGGGAAGAGCCATGGCCACCAGCCCAGCATCATGACGCGGTGAATAACAGCCTCTTCGGGTCTCAGTTTTATCTATGAAATTCGCCAGTGGTGCTCCGTGATCGTCATGGTCCCTCTTCCAGCTCTTTAGCTCCAGAAGTGGAAAACATCCCCAGGGAGATGGAGCAATTTTCCAAAACTCCTGTTACTTTTGTCTGTTCAAGCTACACACTTGCAAGTTGAGCCAGACAGGCCTCTTACGGGGGTGTGACGTCTGTGCCTGCGCTTGGATGCACTCACAGGCTGGCCTGACGCCAAACACCACGCACTCCACACAAGCAGGGAGGACGGAATCCCATGAGGTCTTCCTGGACGTGGCTATACAGGACCAAATGAAATCCGTCCATCCCCATCTCATCTGTGACTCAGAGGCAGGCACAGATGCCCGGAGGGCTTTGAAAGACGCTCAAAATATCCCAATCCCAGGCATACTTCTTTCCCTTGAAAGTGTGTTGTCAAAGTTGAAGGTGAAAAAAGGGAGAAAATCCCTTGCTTAAAAATCCACCTAAACTACATGGTTTCAGTTAAAGAGTGTTGAACACAGAGAAATCATTACAGACACTCAAAATGTTTTTCAAGACATAACTGCTAATTAGGACCCAAAATGACTGTGAAATTGTGCTAAAGACTCTGACGAATGGTCCTGAAAATCTGTCTTGATGGACAGTGAAGTCCCACCTCCTATCCTGTCCTCAGACACCAGGTGTAAGTCACCTGTGCGACACCAGCTCTTTTAATTAGTGGCACAGACACGTCTGAGAGACTCACTGCCGTGGTGACTGATGGGTTCGTGTTGTTATTTTGTCATGCTA